ACACACACACACACACACACACACACACACAGACACACACACACACACACACACACACACACACACATCAATAATAATTACAAAACCTATACCCGCTTGTAAATTAATCATTTTGTAGCTTATAGCTCTGTGGTTTCTATGTGCATTGAGTAACTATTCCTATAATGAAAATTGTAATAAGTGTGCAGTTTGTTGAGTGTAGTTCATGATATAGTATGTGTATATACTGTATACCACCTTTCAAAAGTTTGTGGTCAGTAAATCTGATAAAAAAATAATACTTTTAATGTCAGGATGCATTAAACTGATCAAAAGTGACAGTAGAGACATAACTAAACATTTCAATTTCAAATAAATGCTGTTCTTTCTGTAACATGACATATACAGTATGTTATGTTATGAAATACTATAATATGAAGCAGCATAACTGTTTTCAACACTGATAATAACAATAAATGTTTCTTGAGCAGCAAATCATCATATTTTTCTGAAGGTGACACAGAAGACTGGAGTAATTCAGCTTTGCATCACAGGAATAAATTACATTTTACATTACCATTACGTATTAAAATAGAAAAAATATATATTTTAAAAAGTGTAGAAATACTTCACAATATTACTGTTTTTATTGTATTTTTGATCAAATAAATGCAATCTTGGTGAGCATAAGAGACTTCTTTTAAAAACTCTTACCGACACCAAACTTTTAAAAAAGTACCATACTGAGTGTGCAGTCTATAATTCTGGACACAATATTAACTTACACAATTCTAATAAAACTAACTGATAATATTAATTAAATATATAATACATTAGCCTAACATGAGATTAGAGACATTCTCTAAATGTTGTACTCATCACTGGACTGAGTGTGTGTGTGGTTCATGTTAGGTGTGTAGCTGATAAAGTAAGCAGAACCCATGTGCTGATACACTGCTGAGTTAAACTGTGGCAGAGTCCTACAAAAGCCACATTGCCCTCAGGTCTGTAAACATAGCCCCATTTCTGTACTCTCTCTCTCACACACACACATCTCTAAACCTGATCCAAAGCACTGTGTGTTTTGTGGGCTGAAACAGGAAACATGAGCTCTATAGTTGAACAGAAACCCGCCCACTGTGGCTAGACAGGAATGTGTGTGTGTGTGTGTGTGGAGATCTGTTGAAGAGTCTGTCCATCATTATACCACTGTGATCAGCTCCAGGTCCTTCAGGTATGTCCTCTCAGTACACAGCAGCTCTTTAGCAATGCAGTATGCATTATCAGCGGGACAGTTCTGCACAAACACACACAATACAATACAAGTCATCAGCACAATATGACACTTCATAAAAACTGACATTAACTCTTTCCCTGCCAAACACGGAATTTTCCACACTCTCGCTGTTATACGCTAAGGGGCGCTATTACGCATCTCCTGAATGAATAAAGTGCAGATCAAAAACACAGACCAGGAAGACACAGAAACGAGCGATCTCACATGTAAGCATATGCATATGAAAAATAATGCCATCATCGACACTAACCGCATATAAATGAAAACTGCCTAATGTTACAGAGTGAAATTTCAGTCCAGAAAGTGGTAAAGGCCTGTGCAAGCTATGGGAGTACTGATGGAAGCCATCTACTGCATCTTTGCTTTGATAACATTACTGAATATGATCCAGATGTATTTGATAAAAATGCAATTTTCTCAGCTTTTTGCTCAAAATGTTGCTTTTTTATGAAACTGACCCACATTCAAGTGTTGATAAAAAAAACAATGCTTGAAGCTAGAATAAAACAGTTGTTTTTTTTTAAGTAAAGTGTCTGATCTTTATTTTGATGTATTGCATGTTCAAAATATTCTGTTTTAAGTTTTAGTGAAAATTTGCAAAAACGTTGGCGGTGACTGGTAACTTTTTTCAAAAACACTGGCGGGGAAAGAGTTAAACGTGTATACTACAGTTGAGTAATAGAGATGGTTTATTATGCATATAAACACAATAAAGCCACACTGGCATTTATTTTAAATGCATGTATGCTAATGTAATTTTAATATACTTTAAATTGTAATTTATTCCTTTGTTGCAAAGCTGTATTTTCAGCATCATTACTCCAGTCTTCAGTGTCACATGATCCTTCAGAAATCATTCTAAAATGCTAAATTCTAAAATTCTGATTCTCAACATTGGGCTGCTATGGTACCATGCAACAATTCCTAATGCTTTTGAGACCTATTGACTGTACAGTCAAAGCCTTTCGTCCACAGATCTCACCTTCCTCCTGTTGTCCTCCTCGTCATCAGTGCGTATGGCACCAGTGTCATTCAGCATGGGTGAGATGAGAGGAGACGGCGTCGCTCCTCTACAGTCATCAGCGTGACCGTTAACTAAAGCACACGTCACCTCTGAGAACGACAGACAGGCACAGATGAAAATCATGAGCACAGATCTGAGGCAGATTCCCTTTATATTTATCGTTTCGGTATGTGATGTGTGCATTTAGACTTCACTTTCACTTATTTTAGCATGCAAAAATGCAACAATACCAAAAAAAAAGTACTAAAATACCATGGTACTGCCATGTTTCTTTTGAATATTAACCATGGGAGTAGCATGCTATTTTTGGAAGTACCATGTGAATACCATAGTACAGTGATCATACTATACAACACCGAGATTTTGATAAATACCATGCTGTACCATGGTATTGCCATTGTACTTTCGGTACGGCAGTAACAGTTCTTGTGTCTAAATGGGTAAAATAAATAAATAAACAAAGTCATAAATAATTGATAAATACTAAGTATGCACGTCTATGTTCATTGTTCCTCTAGTCTAGTGCACTTCCCACAAATCTCTACTCCTACAGGAGGTTTTTCTCAGTACTTGCCCAAATCCACCTCGTGTGTTTTCTTTTGAGTAGTGCAGTCATGATAAATAAAGCAGGTGTGAGTGCAGCCCGACACAGACAACAACACAAAGCAGTCTTAATGACATACAGTATACACTAGCAGTCAAAGCTGTGAACACGTTTCTCATGATCCTAAACAATTTAAACTAAACCCTTGAAATAGACAAGTTGGGCCCCTGTGTGAAAAAGGAAGTACACTTCAGCATACTTTTAAAAGGAGTACTACTTAGTATGGAAATAATATACTTAAGTGCGAACTCACTGCAATGTTTTCAGAAACATTTCATTTAACTACGATTAAATGAAAATGTATCATAGTTTAAATTGATATAATACAAGGAGATAAACTTAACATTGTTTTCACTTAAGTACATCTTTATATGTAATTTCATAATTACTTCTGTTCTATTGTCTTTATAATATGGTTAAAGTGAGTGTACCGACAAGCATTTGTAGTCAACTTAAATATGCTTACGTTATTTCTATTTCTAACTTGTATGTCATGTAATTAAAAATATTTGTAATTACACATTTGTAATGATAAAGTTGCAATTCAGTACATTTAAAAGATATTAACTTTAAATGTAATCTCAACAATACAGTTACAATTATAACCAAGTGCTTCACGTGTGCTTTAAGTGTACTTCATTAAAGCACAACAAAAATTATTAAAACATAATGATTTAAAATGTAAACTTTACTTTATTTAATTTGACATTCTGTACTTTTAAAAAGTGTACTTAAGTGTGTTAAGAGGCAAAGTTAAGAAAGTTTGCTCTCTTTAAGTACACTTAAGAGCCATCTTACTTTATTGATATTACATTATCTATCTGCAAGTACAGGTTTTTTATTTTTTCAAAATATACTTTCAGATTTTAAGTACACTACAAGTGCACATTCAATACAATTAAGGGCAGAAAGAGAAAGAAAAGCATCAACAAGTCGCCGGCAGTTTATACAGTTTAAAGTTAGTTGAGTGATAGCTGGATAAGAAGCTCAAACTTGAAAAAGTGGAAAACTGTAATAATAAGGAACGTGTCCAATCTTGTAAATGGCAGTGTATTTATAGCACAAACTACTCCATGTACACAACAACATATGCAAACAATATAAACAATTCACACTTACAGACATTCATACAATGTGAACTAATGCATGTATACTGCACTTTATATACATACATGTGTGGACAGATAGCGAGACATGCGCTGTGCAGCCATAGACAGCGGGGAGGGGGTGGGAATGAGTGAGAGGGAAGGTTGGATCATGAAAAATATGAGCATTATAAGCTTTAAAAAACAATTCCGGAGTCTTCAAAGGCCAACTGTAACTTTATTGACACTAGTGCACAAAATACATTGTTAAAAAGTCTATGTGGTTAATAAAGAGCAGCAGAACCAAAAGTCATTGAGAAGGAACAGGCAGGGAACATCAGAACAGAGATTAAGCTTGAACAGTGCTGAATGAGAGAGACAGAGGAAGAGAGGGAACGACTATGTTCAGAATAGTAACTACCATACTAGCTGTGCAGTCTATGTAGTTTGGTTACATGCAGTATGTACGGTTTCCCAGTGTGATAAAAGAACTAGACGTACTGATTGTTTGATCAGACTAAAACAATAAACAATCAAATGTTTCATTTTCATTTTCTAAATGTAGGCCACTTAAACGTGCATTGTTGTTAGGGTAAGTTTCAACAGTATAACTTACTGTTATTTGAAATGTTTGTTGCATAGTTCATTCTTCAAATACTTATTTTTTTTAAACGTGCGTGAAGTATACAGTGTGTAGTGTGCAGCAAACAGTACACTAGTATTCCATTCTGAACACAGCCAAGGTGTGAGAAAGATCATCAGCATGTCATTCACACAAATGAACAGCAGGTGACGTCATTTTTTTTAGGCCATCAAGTTGATTTCTAAACAATCCTGGTGTGTAATTTGATCATTGTGTGAACAAACAAAAGAAGATCAGTCATGTCACAGACATTCATTAACTACCATACTAGCTGTGCAGTCTATGTAGTTTGGTTACATGCAGTATGTACGGTTTCCCAGTGTGATAAAAGAACTAGACGTACTGATTGTTTGATCAGACTAAAACAATAAACAATCAAATGTTTCATTTTCATTTTCTAAATGTAGGCCACTTAAACGTGCATTGTTGTTAGGGTAAGTTTCAACAGTATAACTTACTGTTATTTGAAATGTTTGTTGCATAGTTCATTCTTCAAATACTTATTTTTTTAAAACGTGCGTGAAGTATACAGTGTGTAGTGTGCAGCAAACAGTACACTAGTATTCCATTCTGAACACAGCCAAGGTGTGAGAAAGATCATCAGCATGTCATTCACACAAATGAACAGCAGGTGACGTCATTTTTTTAGGCCATCAAGTTGATTTCTAAACAATCCTGGTGTGTAATTTGATCATTGTGTGAACAAACAAAAGAAGATCAGTCATGTCACAGACATTCATAAGGATATTCAAATTTCCATGTGTGAAAATTTCCCAGAATGCACTGCCTTTCAGCTTTCATTGAAATAGAACAGAACAGCCATATGACGGGAGAGCATGCAGCCCAGCATTTAAAAACACCATTAGTTACAAATTCATTTAAATGCCAGCAGAAAACATAACAAGCATTTATTGATCATAAATGACAACAATGACAAGCTCAAGCGGTTTCAGAAGAAAAATAAATAAATGGGGCAGAAAAGAAAAGGTACAAAACAATAGTGAATATCAGCCAATAGTGCAGTGACATCAAAGCTAAGTGAGAAATCAGGCAGGGATTAGAAACACATGTGCTACATGGCATTATCACATTTCCATAGATCTTTTTTCCGGGAAAATACTTCAACAGGTATGCAATTTTTATTAAAATATCAAAAACCCTATTTGAAATGCCCTTTCCAATCCCTGCTGAAGGATAACAGGTAAACCCATGTGCAAGGTAAGGTAGAGGTGCTCAGAGAGGGAGAGAGAGTGAAACACAGTGAGACGCAGACACATGCTGTGACACTTTCTCTCTATAGACTGAACCATCATATAGCTTAAAGGGACAATTCTGTCATTACCTACTCACCCTCGTGTCATTCCAAACCCACGGAGACCATGTTGTGTTCCATGGAGGGACGAAAAAGTCATACAGATTTGAAATGACATGAAGGTGAGTATACAATGACAGCATCTTCATTTCATAAACTGAAATCTCTTACTGACAAATACATTCATCACAATAGGACAAAACCCCTTATATTCAATATGCTTACATTCAAATCTAGCTAATAAAACAATCATGCAGGATTTTAAGATACCGTTAAAAATGTCCAGTCTCTGAATCTGCTAATTTCTCATAGTAAACAGAGGCTCAGCCAGAAGGAGAAAAAAAGCCACACAATGAAGACCATGATATGAAGATCTTTAGCCAAAGCTCAGGATGAGTGAATCTTTAAAAATCACACTGTTCTTTAAATTATTATATGAAGAAGCAGCTGTGAGCGCCAGCACAAATGTACAAATGGCAAACTGATGATTAAGAATATTAATGAAGATGAAGTTCTGAAGATCCTGCAGAATTTAGCCCCAATCAAATATACATAATCCAGCTAAACACAATCCCAGCCGAGGAATAAGGGTCTTATGTAGCAAAACGATCGTTTGGATTTTATTAAAAAAAAATGTATATATGTAACAATGATGTCGGATGATTTTGAAGTTGGAGGAGAACATAAGATGGAGTTTTTTGCCCTACCCCACCTTTTCGAACCACAATACACAAATGAAGAGCTAACCACGCGTGACGTTTCCAACGTAATGCTTGAAGTCGTGAACTCGCATCGCAGAGCTAGTGCAAGATGAGCATTTTTTTTGTTGAAAATGACCAATCGTTTGGCTAGATAAGACTATTATTCCTCAGCTGGGATTGTGTAGAGACTTTTGAAGCTGCATTGAAACTGCAATTTGGATCTTGGCCACCACTGTAGTCCACTATATGGAGAAAAATCCTGGAAAGTTTTCCTAAAAAAAACGTTTTTGTCAGAAAAATATCCATATTTCAAACGTAATAAACACTTTTCTATCACTTCCGCTATCTGTCATACGTGGAAGCAGTTCTGGCGGATGACGTAGGACGTCAGCGTTGCGTGATTAGTGACGAACGTGAAGAGAGAACAAAACAAAACGCCGGTCATGAATTAGAAGTACAAACCGAGGATTTGTAAAGAAAAATGTCGGAGGATTTCGATATTAGCCAAGAGGAGACTGGTTTTCCTTTGCTAAAGTATGAAAACTTTGCTTCCTTAAACTCGTGAGACTAGCATATTTCAGAGGCGCGTGCGCGACGCATACTACGTCATCCATATTTTTCTTACAAAAACGCATGGATTCGCTACAGGAGGCCTTTATTCACCCGCCGGAGTGGCACATTTTATTATGGATGCGTGTGCTTTATTTAACGTGTTTTGGACTGTTGAACAGAAACACCCACTGACTGCAATGATAGAGCTTAGAAGTGCCAGGACAATTTTTTATATAACTCCGACTGGATTCGTCTGAAAGAAGAAAGTCATATACACCTAGGATGGCCTGAGGGTGAGTAAAACAAAGGTTAATTTTCATTTTTGGGTGAACTAACCCTTTAATCAAACACCCCTGAACAAGGCGATCAAGATCTTCAGGATTACTAGACAGCTACAGGTAGGGTTGGAGCTAAACTCTGCAGGACAGTGGACCTTGAGGGCCAGAGTTGCCCAGCCTTGTTCTAAAAGTACCACATTTCAACTGTACAGTAGGATTAAAAGTTAGTTTCCTACAGTTATTAAAAAGTGTAAAAGTAATGGTTTGTTCTACCTCAGACTCATTCATATTACAGCCTCACCCTTAACAACCTTTAAAAATTAGAGTGAAACGATGAGTTGACAATGCTGTTGGAGCCCCAGATTCAACTCTAAGACTAAATCTAACCCTAACCCAAACATCTGATGGGTCAACAGGAAAGCTACTCCAGGACCAACTAGTATATGGATCCAGGAACACGTCTTACTTGGCAAAATCACGTTCACATCTACCTGTTATGGCTCCTCGCAGAGTTTCCAACTCAGAGATCTTAAATTTACTCCAGGGAGTGACATCACTCTGAATTCCTGAAGTATTCCAGATTATTGCAGCATCAGAACTGCGAGTAATTAGCATTCTGTGCAGAACTTGGCACCGCAAAAGAACCCACTTGCTCAATACAGAGGCTGGATAAAATCACTTACTGCAAAACTATAGAGTTTTGCCTCGAGAAAGGGAAGGATATCCGCCTTGTCACACAGCTAAGGCCATCTCAGGTTATAGGAAAAGAAAACTCAGTGTGGTATCGCCGAGAAGCACACCGCAATGAGGTTTTTACACTAGCATGCTAGCAGTTAAACACTTGCATCCCTTCCTCATCACTGAGGTTCACACACCCTCCTTCATCGTCGAGCTCATCTAGCTGCAAGCTTCCAAATGAGTACTTGTTTCTGGGGAGGCGGGACGAACTACGGGCAGCTTGGTTTTCAAACCCCAGCGATTGGCTGCAGGAGCCAGTAGACTCTGCCTCTTCTGAGTCACTAGTGTCTGTTCCACTACTGGTGGAGCCGTCAATCATCTGCACAGCCCCGAAGCGACGGTGTGGGGAGCTTGGCTTAAGATTGGCCTTGCCGGGAGGCGTGAGCCCATTGGCCAGCATTCGGCGCTCCAACATGGCCATTCTCTCGGCACGGGAGAGAACGGGAGGGTGTGGCTGATTCGAGACGCGCATGTTTCTTTCTAACTGGCTAACGGTGTTCTGGGACTTGTTTGCTGAACGATTCATAATTGGGGAGCAGCTACTAAATAGTCCCCCTCTTTCCTCCCATCCTGCTTTGGAACTAAAGCTCCGCCCAGTGTATCCATTATACTGGGCGTAGCTTAGGGAGCTGGTCCTGTGAATTGAGGAGGGGACAGGGCTAGAGGTCAGGCTTCGGGTGCCTGTGTGGTGGTTTAAGGAGCTTTTTGTGGCCAACTCTTCCAATAGTGTGCTATGAAGTGGCCCACGTACCCTGCTTCCAAAAAATGGCGACTCGAAAATGTTAGCACTTTGATTTGGAGAGGAGGGGCTTGGGTAGCTGTGGGCGGGGCTTGTGGCTTGGCTTACAGGGGAAAGAGGCGGAGACTCTCTCTGCCTGAACTTGCCCAAGTATCTGTCCTGCTGGTGTGACCGGGGCAAACCAAACCCGGTGCCATAAGCGCTGACGCTGTTGCCATCGCGTGTGTGCGAGTGTGACCTGCTGACCCGACCTCTGACTTCCTGTTCACTAAACTCTGCATCACTGCAGTCAATGTAAGGGATGGATGAGCTGCTGCCTTTAGCTGCATGGGACGCCAGACCTGCTCGATCGACGGGCTGCTGCTTGGCTGCCGGGCTTCTGCTGTCCTCCTGAATAGGGTACGTTTGGTCGCTGCATCCATTGCGCTGAGACGATGTAGAGGAGTTTCCACATGGTCTTATTACCGCAGAATCTTCTGAGCTTACTAAAAATGAGCCCTCCCAGCTCTGCTTGACAGCCTGAGGGAGGAAGAGAGAAGGATATGAGTCTTTCATCAGTACCTGCACATTACAGGTTCCAGAGTACTCTGGGTTCTACATGAGTCATGGGCTACCAATCACTGAATGTAATTGACTTGTCATGAACAGAAGTGCAATTACAAAGGAAGTCTAGGGGCCAGCATTCCAGAAGGTGTAGAAGCAGAAATGTAACCCTGGACCACAAAACCAGTCATAAGGGTAATTTTTTTTTAAATTGAGCTGAATAAATAAGCTTTCCATTGGTGCATGGTTTATTAGGATAGGACAATATTTGGCCGAGACACAACTATTTGAAAATCTGGAATCTGAGGGTGCAAAAAAAATCAAAATATCGATTGCCTTTAAAGTTATCCAAATTAAGTCCTTAGTAATGCATATTACTAATCAAAAATTAAGTTTTGATACGGTAGGAAATTTACAAAATATGTTTACTTAATATCCTAATAATTTTTGACATAAAAGAAAAATCAATAATTTTGACCCATACAATGTATTGTTGGCTATTGCTACAAATATACCCATGCTACTTATGACTGATTTTGTGGTCCAGGGTCACAAATGTGAGGTTTTTTCCCGAATTAATTTTTTTTATCTATAAACTGTATATATTTTTTAATTGTCCTTTTTTAGGGCGGAACTACTTATCTATGTGGATGAACCTCTGGTAATGCCAGCACGTGGTTAAGGGTGGAATTTGCTCTGTGTGAATAGTAGTTTGCAGATAGTTACATCATGACTCTTTCTGCTATTCTTGCCAGGGCTGGATTATAAACTGGACCACTGGGATCATTGCCCTGCAGTCCATTGATTCAGTCATTCATTTATATTAATTATATTAATCATTTAACAAATTATACTAATTTAAAGGTGCATTCAGTTGTTGTTAGTGTTAGCGTTGCTGTTCTTTGTAAGTATTAATACCTAAATGGTGTTAGACTCTTCACTGTCATCTGTTGCATGGATCTGCATGAGTTTTATGTAAATTACACTAATACTAGTGAGTTTTAGAAAGCGGATTACACAGTAATTAATTCCCTTATTTGTCCAACCAAAAAGAAGCAACTTGGGCATCGCTACACAGGATTTTCTCAGTCAAATGTTTTCACCTTTTTTATAGCATGCTGATGTTTATGATTGTTTTAGTTTTTCTGTCTTCTGGCTTCAGATATTTTCTGCTTCTTCAGCCATACAGCTAATTCTCCTATTGTCTCTGATGGTAAATCATGATAATAGCTCTGTTCCATTGGCTAATTTTTTAAACTACACTATGCTACTATCTACCGAGACAATGGTCAATGAGCGTGAGGCTTTTCTTTGAGGCCATACATAATTAAAGGTGTCATGAGCTGAGAAATCAAAGTTCCCTTGATCTTTCGACATAAGAGGTCATTGTACGATAAAAACATCCTGTAAGTTTCAGGACTCAAAACTTTTTTCATTAGTCAACTTTTACTGAATCTGATCTGCCAAAACGACAGCTTGTGGAATGTTCCACTCTATGATGTAATAGTGTGGATAAGCACCGCCTCCGCAGAAGAAAATCAACGCCTGCTTCTACATCGCTGCCTGTTTAGCCCCGCCCACCGATTCACGCATATAGTGTATACGAGAGAGGCGATGCTGCGAAGACAACAAGACGCTGTGCAGTGCCAAGTTATGGAAAAAAATAGTCTTTGCATTGCCTTCCTTCTGATCCCAAAGTTAGGAAAGAGAGATTGAACTTTATTTTTAAATGAAGCTCCAGACTGCGTCGTTTTACGCAGATTCATTTACAAACAAGGCACGATTCGACGCAGGGTTTTTAGAAAGATTAAAACTAAAAGACGATCCTGTGCCAACTATATTGAATCCGACAGTAATGTCGTAACACACAAGTGTGAGTAACCGTTTTTATTACGTGATCACTATTGCTTTGTCTCTTCTTACAGATAATTTGATATGTACCGAGTATTTATGCATTTTTAACCTAAATTACAGCAGCGTCCATCTGTTAGTGATGTATGCTGTCAAACATACACAACTATTAGCCAATCACAGCAGTGGGCACTGACTTCTGTGTCTACAATTCGCAGTACATATTCAAACAGAGCATTTTGATGAGAGGGGGACAAAACAGACAGAAAAAAGCCTATTTCCTCTAAATTATGATGATATGATTTTTTCATATAAAAATCTTGATTACATTATAAGTGGACTTATACAGTAGAAAATAAGTAAAAAGGCAGGTTATGACCCCTTTAGAAAATTATGAGTACAGTCTTCATTATGTTTTAGTATATATTTCTTATGTATACAACTTTTTAAATTAGCATTAGACCTCTGAATGCATCTTTAATACTTAATTTCATTTATCCGTCCATTTCTAAAATATTTGCTGTTCAACGTAATACCATTATGCAACAAATGCTTTAGAGTGAGCTTAAGTTGTGCTGAACCCAAAATATTCCTCATTAAATATTCCTTGAAAACATTCCTATGTGAAGACACTAACTTGATTTGGCACTTGGTGCTGTGCAGAACGCAGAGGTGACAGACTGCTGTTGTACTGCACTCGACTATGTTTCCTGAAAGACAGAACAAGAAACACACGAATAATGAACCACACAGCCTTACGAGTTTCTACACTAATTAAATCTTAAAGGAATAGCAGTGCAGAAATGCTGACTTTCCATTCATTAAAATAACAGATCAGGCTCACCTATCAAAGGGCAGTTTTTTAAACTCATTTTCCTTCACATAATCTATCACCTGCCTCTGTGTCCGACCACTGCAGAGAAGAGGTGGTAATTAGTCCAACTGGATTACATAACATTTTGACAAGAGCAAAATAATACACTACAGTTAAAATTAAAGTCAAGTACTTGACATGTTCTTCAAAATAATTCTTCAGAATTATTAAAACATAATGATTGTACTCTCTTTAAGTACACTTAAGTTGCCTTTTATTTAATTAACATTACATTACCTGCAAGTACAGTTGAAAAAATACTTTTAGATTTGAATACACTACAAGTGCACATGCAATACAGTTAAGTGCACTTCTTTTCACAAGGGTTCACACTTCACCTGCAGACAAATCCACACTTATAAATGTTACCAAAAGGATTTAATCAGGTTTAGCACCTGAACCTGAAGGAAGAGCCCCTGCTGAACAGCACCGGTTTGGGTTTGGGTCTGGGCTCCTCAAAGAGCCTGAAGAAGGCGTGATACTCCACACAGATCTTCCAAAACATTTTACAGCAGTCCCGACTCGCCATCAAAAACTCCAGAGTATCTTGATTAACATTCTGCTACAGGACGAGACAGACAGAGACTCCACGTTACAATTCAACATGATAAATGAGAGCTTAATATACTACATGAAACTCACACTAGGGTCTGCTCTTAGTTTGATAAGGAACCTCCTTCTCTTGAAGCTCAGCTTGCGGATTTTAGACCAGTTGAAGTTGTTGATCCTGTTGTGTCCCTGAGTAAAACACAACTCATGTCATGCTGTTGTTCATGCATGCCTGTGTGTGTGTGTGTGTGTGTGAGAGAGAGTGTGTGTGTGATTGCATGCACCTGAAACACGAGGACGCCGCCGTGTGCTACAGCCAGACTGAGTTTGGTTCCTTCTCTGTCTTTAACAGGATGGAGTCGGATGCTGTACATCTCCAACCTGCACGCCACCTCCAGCAACCGGTAATCTGACTCTGCTGGCATCTGTCCACTTATATACACACACAAACACAAGTTATAACACTGCCTGGTGTTTTGCTATACTGTACTTTAAAGGTTAGCTCATTTTGTCTTAAATTGCTGAACAAATTGTTGAAAATTACTTCCAGATGAAAATGCATATTCAACCCTGTTGAAAAAAACAGCATATGCTGGTTAGGTATGTTTTGAAGCATGGTCCTTAGTTGGTCCCGAGCTGGGTATGAGCTGGTCCTGAGCAGGAGCTAGTTGCATATGACCATTTTAGTTTATAACCAGCTTAAACCAGCTCATGACCAACTAAGGACCAGCTTAAACCAGCAAACCAGCTGCCATGCTTCAAAACATACCTAACCATCATATGCTGTTTTTTTCAACAGGGAAATCAAATAGATGTCGGCGATCTACTGTAAGATCCCAAACAGTGAGCCTTAAGTGTTTTGTTTGGGAGACTCACATGTGTTTATGGTGGAACTCCATGATTTTGTCCATCAGGGCCATCTGGTCAGGGATGTAGTTGGTGTTAAGTAGATGCTGTCTACACTGAGTTTCCTCAAAATCCCCAATCTCGGCTAAATAAACACACACACAGCTTCACTATGCGTAAATGACTTGACAGTGATAGAAGACAGAGACAGAAAAAGAGATATAGAAGGAACAGGATGTATAAAAATATTAACATACATGTCCATGGCTTTATAACCTTTTACTGAATGATTGTCCGGTTGGATTACAGCATGCGTTAGTTGCCCTTATGTGTTATACTATATGGCACTTTAAATGAATAGGGAACAAACTGTATTCAATTTTTTAAGAAACAGATAACTATGTTCTTTAGAAATAGGATTATTGATATAAGATAAACTATTATCTAACATAAAATAGCAATAGGTAGTTTTAGACATAATTCATTAAATTCAATCACTATAGAAAAATGTTATAATAACAATACATATCACATAATATTTGACCTACTGAGTTCGAAACATTTCTGAAAACAGTCAACCTGTTGCATTAATACAGAATTAAACAGTTGTGTATATGTATACAGGTGTATATGGGCTATTTTATACCTTTTAGTGCAGCTCATCCAATCATATTTTAGAGTCTGAAATATCTGTTTTAGTTAAGGCTAACTAGCCTAGCAAAAAAGTAATATATTTAAAATACATTTATTTCATACTAAGTATAGTTAAAATCTATTAATATATTAACTGATACATCGCTCGAAACTTACTGATATAAAAATTATAATTCAACTTATATGGAGTATTTCTTTATTGCACAATGGACATTTCTTAATATTAAGCCTAAAATGTGTTTTAATGTCACTATTGATGAGGACTGTATGATCTTTGAATAATTTCGGTCTTTAAATACAAGATATTTAAAGTGTACCTGAAGTATACTTGCAGTAGTTCCACTTTAGCACAATCAAATATACTTCAGTATGTCTTTAGTTGGACTTCAGCACTGCTTCCGCACAATTAAAACGCATTAAGTACAAAACAAGTTGTTCCAATTTAGCAGACTTTAAGTATATCAGTTTAGTATACTAAAAGTACAATTTCAGGGTATTTTTATTAAGTACATAAATACGTAAATGTATTTGTAGTATACTTAACATGAAAGAGATGTATTTCAAACACATTTTAGTATATTAAAGGGGTCATATGATGCGATTTAAACTTTTCCTTTCTCTTTGGAGTGCTACAAGCTCTTGGTGCATAAAGAAGATCTGTTGCAAAGACTAAAGTCTCAAATCCAAAGAGATATTCTTTATAAAAGTTAAGAGTCAACCACACCTACCTAAAACGGCTCGTTCTAACACGCCCCCACATATTTACGTCACGATGTGGGAAGATTTGCATAACGCCGCCCAAATGTTCACACAAAGAAAGGCGGCGTAACTTTTATTCTCGCTGTAGTATTGTTGCTGCCGTGTGCTTCGTCGTGAAAGTGAAACTACTTTGTTTGGTCTTCCAAAAGAGGACGATATCTGCTTCATCATGCCTGGAGCTGATCCGTGCTGGTCGCTGAGGAAATACTACAACTTTGCGCTGTGGATCGCCGGATCGGCTTTCACCGTGGATGAAGCGGAGTCCAGCCCGGGGTCATGACATGTTGTTGCCGCAAGCCCTCCGGACGCTCCTTCATCGAATCCGCCAGCTGCGCTCTTCTCAAGCCTGCCGGCCGCCGCTCACTCTAGCCCTCTGGCCATTCCTCACCCTAGCCCCCGGCCTCTGCTCACTCAAGCCCACAGTGTGTGATTTGTTGTGAAAGCGAAACTACTTTGTTGGCCTTCCAAAGGAGGACACGACTAGAAATCAGTGGTTAAGTTGTATTTACAACATTGTTCCAGAACAGTTCAACCCAAATATTCAGATGTGTGCAACGCATTTTATGGGGGACTGTTTCCTGATCCTGGTAGAGTAGACTGCAATGCTGGCTGTTCTGACTCACAGAGTGTAAGTAAGTTTCCATATTTAAAGGATTTGCCACTGATGATTCAAACGTGAGTTTTGAGCAGTGTAGAGTAGCGCTTGTTGTTTGTCATTTCTCCGATCACAAATGCAGACATGTGTGACGAGAGGGGCGGGGCCGAGAGCCGTGGCAATTACTCCCGCCCCTCTCGTGACAACATGGTTTTATGTTTACGCGGTGCGATGCAACGTGTAAAAAGACAGTATAAGTTGTTATAATCTGTAATTATGTCCCCACTGGATGCAACAAATGCCTCGTTTATAATGGGTTTTAATGTTTTTGTCTCGTCACTCCGGCCTGACAGGGCATCACAGTATGGTAGGGGCGTAACATTTCCGTCACACGCTTGAGGAATTCGGCCAATCATAACGCACTGGATAGCTGGCCAATCAGAGCACACATCGCTTTTCAGACCGATGAGCTTTGTAAAAACACTTTGAGCTTTGTAAAAATTGACGCGTTTCAGAAAGGTGGGGCATAGAGGAGAAACAATAATGTACAGTATGTGGAAAATAATGTGTTTTTTGAACCTTAAACCGCATAAACACATTTCATTACACCAAATACACACAATAATGTTCTTTTTAGCAACATCATATGACCTAAATTTCACTAGGTGAAAGTCACTAGGTCACTAGGTGACTATGGTTTAAATTTCTCTAGGGTGGTTAAGGCTGCATCACTTTAATAAACAGACACAGTCACAGTCAGCATAACTCACACTGGATGATATGAGAGACCAAAAGAGCAGCGCTGGCATCGCTACACGTGAGGCGTCCGCTGGCCAGATCCTGCCTCACCTGCAGCGCAAACAAGTACCTGAGAGAAAACAGGCATACAAGCACATGTGAGAGACACATGAAAGCCTCAGTGAATGAGCTGAGGGCGAGTGGAGGGATGGCCTCACCTGGTCAGCTCCTCCAACAGCAGCGAATTATCAGGGGGGAAGAATTTCACAACAAACCGAAGGACGGTGTGCTTGGGCCCTGGACACACACACACACACACACACAGGTTTGTTTTTATGGTTTATGGGGACTCTCCATAGGCGTAATGGTTTTTATACTGTACAGACTGTATATTCTATTGCCCTTTACCAACCCTACCCCTAAACCTACCCCTCACAGGAAACTTTCTGCATTTTTAGATTTTCAAAAAAACTCATTCTGAATTATTTATAAGCCTTTTGAATTACGGGGACACTGAAAATGTCCTCATAAATCACCTTCTCGTTGTAATACCTATGTCATACCCATGTTATTATACAAATTTGTGTCCTCATAAACCACATAAACATGCACACACACACAGCAGTGAGGCCTCTTACGTGTGATCTGCTTTCTAATGGGCTTTAGTAAATCCAACCAAACCTGTGGAGTAGAGCACACAGCAGAGATGAGTCTGACTGACACACAGATCTTTAAAAAGGCCTTGTACAACACAGCCTCAGCTTACATAAACACAGCGCAACAACTACATTTCATAAACTCACTGACATATTCACAACAACTATTTTGTGTTTAGATCATTGAGCTCCTACAGCAGCAAAAATCAACTTGTTTAATTATATGGGTCAGAGAAATGGTGGAAAATGGCCCTAAAAATGGATTATGATTGTATTTGGTGTAAAAAAAAAAAATCTGACTTACCATTTTTCTGTGATGGCTCTGGAACTCTAGGCCAAAGTAATCCCCCTCAATAAGGTTCAGATGCAAGCAGACCATCTCGAACAGAACCCGGCCCGATGCTCGATGCTGTTAACAGCAAAACACACAGATGATTTACTAGTTAGAACGAATTAGTCTTGATGTCAAAACCCCTTAAACTCTTTTGCTTCTGAATCTAGTTGTTAAGTTTATGGTTTAGGGATCTAGAATAAGGTCATGCAGAATAAGGCATTAATATGTGCTTTATAAGTACTAATAAACAGCCAATTTGCTAGTAATATGCATGCTAATAAGCAACTAGTTAATAGCGAATAGTAATACCAAGCAGACTTCTTTTTCATTAGGAAAAATCAGCATCCTAAAAAGATGCAAAGTTGTAAATCTGTCTGTTCACACTCAGTGCAAAAAGGTTGCATGATGTGTCAAAATTACAATCAGAACATGTCTAGAATTTTTGGCCAATGAGATCTGATGGACCTGTGTACTAGTGCAACACAAGAAATCAACACCAAATGACCCACAAAGCATCTTGTTGCTCGTCGTCAAATATTTAGGACAGAAACACAGAATGGATAGAATTTATTGCTTGTTAGAATCTGTCCTGACTGACTACCCAAACAATACTCTGACATCATCAGTACAACATTTAGCCCCGCCCCCTTCGGAGGAATCACAAGTCTGAGCAAATATCTGCAGCAATGACAGTGAGATCTGAAACATTCCATCCCGATGAACATTCCATCTGGTTCCCATGGAAGATCGCACAGTTGCCATGGTTATCATAACCAGGGGGCAAGATTAGTAACTCCTCATCTCACTGCATAGAGACACATCATAAAGACAGTGACAGAAAGTGGTAAAAAAAGACAGAGGTCATAATTACTAAAGAAAAGTCACAAGGGAAAGACCATCAGATAGGAAAGCTGAACACAATAGTAGAAGAGGGTGGAAAACAAAGAGATAGTTCTTAAAATAGCTGCCTGGCTATTATTATTCAGGTCCTTGTAGGCAAAAACAACACATACAAAAATTAAAGGGGTCATATGATGTGATTTCAATGTTTCCTTTCTCTTTGGAGTGTTACAAGCTCTTGGTGCATAAAGAAGATCTGTAAAGTTGCAAAGACTAAAGTCTCAAATCCAAAGAGATATTCTTTATAAAAGTTAAGAGTCAACCACGCCTACCTAAAACGGCTCGTTCTAACACGCCCCCACATATCTACATCACTATGTGGGAAGATTTGCATAACGCCGCCCAAATGTTCACGCAAAGAAAGAAAGCGTAACTTTTATTCTCGCTGTAGTATTGTTGTTGCCGCCGCCATGTCGTGAAGACGCTGTGTGATTCGTTGTGAAAGCGAAACTACTTTGTTTGGTCTTCCAAAAGAGGACGATATCCTCTATTTTGTTTTAATGTTTTTGTCTCGTTGCTCCGGCCGGACAGGGCATCAACAGTATGTGAGGGGCGTAACATTTCCGTCACACGCTTGAGGTATTCGGCCAATCACAACGCACTGGATAGCTGGCCAATCAGAGCACACCTCGCTTTTCAGACTGATGAGCTTTGTAAAAATCAACGCGTTTCAGAAAGGCGGGGCATAGAGGAGAAACAATAATGTACAGTATGTGGAAAATAATGTGTTTTTTTACTTTAAACCGCATAAACACATTTCATTACACCAAATACACAAAATAATGTTATTTTTAGCAGCATCATATGACTCCTTTAAAGATCTCATGAAATGGCTTCCCCTAGTGAAAGGAAGTACACTTCAGCATATTTAAAAAACTGGATAGCATAAATAATATACTTTAAAAGAACAAATGTAATGTTTTAAATTTCAGACAATTAAATGTATGTTAACTGCAAATGTAAAATCAAATATATGTAAAATTAAATATCACACTACAGTTAAAATTATAAGCAGGGACTACATCTGCTTTAGTATGTTAGTCAACACATCAAAATAAGTGTACTTCTGTAAAGCATGGCAGAAGATTTTTAAAACGTGATTTGAAATGTACTTTAAACCTTTTCATTTGGCATAATGACAAAGTGCACTTTATAACGGTTTACTTAAGTATCATGAAAGTGTGTTCTTTTGAAGTACTCTTAAGTTGACTTAGTATATATACTACTATATATATATATATATATATATATAAAGCAAACTTTCAAGATTATAAGTACACTACAAGTCCACATTCAATACAATTAAGTACACTTATTTTACACAAGTGTTGACAAGCACAGTTTTCATGTAATGATGTATTTCCTGTTGAAAGGAATTTGATTTGTTACTTGTTATTGCTAGCCAACTGTTTTATTAGTGGAAGGTTTTTTTCTTTATAGACAGCATTTGATTGGATAAACATTGGAATACACTCCTGAATCATTATCAGTCTGAAAATCCGGAAGAGAAAGACTGTGAATTTCAAATGTGTATTTGCAAAAAACAAATTTACACTAGCACATAGATGACATTAATGCAAGACATGGATTAAAAGCCGCAATATTTAAACCTTTTTTAGTCACAGTGTTATGTTTTTGGCCAAGAAAGATAAATGCACACATCCGTTCGTCTGTCTCTCTCTTTGTCTTTCACTCTACAAACAGAACTGACCCATTATATCTAGTTAACATGAGCCAAGTCAATTACTGAGAGGTCACAAGACAACAGAAGCAGGTGAAAATGCCACAGACATGTGTGTGTGTGTGTGTGTGTGTGTGTGTGTGTGTGTGTGTGTGTGTGTGTGTGAGTGTGTGTAGTCTATTCATTAACTCAGCCCTGCAGAAACCAGTGTTCAGTCAGTGGAAAATCACCCTGAAACATTTGTTCAGTCCTCTTGGTTTGCAAGATCTGAGATATTTTCCAAAGAGAATCGTGTACAGACACACAAACAGCAAATGGTCTGATATAGTCACTGCTCTATTGTGTCAGGAGGACAGATTGTCTTTGCCATGCTTGCATCTGCCTTAAAGATATGTCATTATAGATCACATCACACACATGCAATTCTCCCCTCTCCCCACACACACACACATGAAAAATACAATGCTAATGCAACACTGTTGAAACTAATGAAATACATAAACATGATACAGCAATTGCAACTACATATTTAAAAAGAAAACCTTAATAAATGAGTAATTGTGCCACAACATTGATTGGACAAAATGATGAAATCAACCTGTGAATGGATTAAAGTCGAGTCTGCATATTCATCTGCTAGACAAAGTATTTTAGCAGTAAAACATTGTTTCACATTATTAAGAAAACATTATTTTCTTTCCTTTTAAATACAGTCCATTAATGAATCAATTTCAGTAATATTAGTATTAAGAAAGTAATTTGGATTCCATGATGGTTTTAAAGGATTCACTCTAAGTTTGTTTATCTGCACACTGAGTCAAAAGATCATAAAGAATATAGTTTTTTGTCAGATTTGGAGCATTTTTAACTAGTGAGGATACCCTCACAAGGGCTCCCTTGTGAAAAAGAAGTACACTTAATTATATTGTATGTTCACTTCAAATCAAATCTTAAACGTATTTATGAAAAAAAAAACTGTACTTGCAGATAATATAATATTAATGATATAAAAGGTGACTGAAGTGTACTAATGGATCCAATATAATAATAAATAAATAATAATATAAAAAATGAATGATACCTTAAATTATGTGGATCAAGGGGGATTTGTGCTATCCCTGCTGAAAAGGCTAGGTTAAAGCGGCATGGATTTTCATGCTAGTCCAAGCTAATGTATTCATTTTTCTGATGAAGCTTGTTGACAAAGCCTTTCTGGTGTAGTTAAGATGCCTAGTAGAATCCAACAACACACAACATACGGTATATACCAGTGACTACCAATACTTTTCCAGCAAGATATACTTTTTAAAGCTAGTTTAAAATGTTGCCATGAACACACACATTGTACAAATCAACTATTGCAAAGATCCCCAGGAAATATCTGTTATGTATGTAATGTTGGTAGAAAGTATGTCAGAAGGTCAAAACTAAAGGGGTCAATATCACCATAGAGTGCCTTTCAACCCTCACAAACCCTCAAAATGTTGGTTTTAGTTTCCCATTCGCTTTATGTCATGTCATAAATAGTAAAGACTCAAGTATTATAGAAACATATTAGCTGAGCTCACACACATTATTTTAAGATAATTATGGGCCATTATTCGAAGCATAAACCATAAGATATGTCCACCCTGTTGTGGACAAATATATTACTGTTAAATATGTTTTCATAGCAAAATTAAGATGCGAATGATATTTTCTGAAAGGTATGATGTCCCTTTCCTAAACAGGGTTATTTGTTTGCTTTCAAATTATAAATACATAAAAGATTTTATGTAATCCATGTGTTTTTAAAGAAACTTATACAATTTGCACATGTATTTTTTCTTATTTGGAGAAAACTGTGATATTTGGATGCAGTTTTTTGTTTGCATGGTATTGGCCCCACACCTAGCTATTGAACACACTGGGTTATATAGATATGATTGAATTATTATTTAAAATATTATAGTAAAATATCAAGATGACAGGGTGGACCAGCACATGACGGGGTGGACACATAAAGCAGAACACACAAAGCATGACAAAATATGACAACGAAACATTTATTCAACTTCGAAAAAAATTATAATATAATAATAATAAATAATATAATTACATCCTCAATCACATTGATATACCCCTGCCCATTCATTTTAGTTTTTAGCAATATTAGCTACAAATTAATGCTATGTCCACCCTGTCATGTGTATGTCCACCCTATCGAGTCTAAGTGGCCGACAGGGTGGACATTTTGAGCCTTCAATTAGCATATTAGCTTACAACAAACTGTGACTAGCTGAATAGTTAGTCTTGGCTGTTGAAGAGAATGTGGTATATTTAAACGTACTTATTTTGAAAATACTGTATTCTAATCACTTCTGGCATATTGTATGCCGAGTTGCCGACAGGGTGGACATGTTAAGGTTTGGCAAAGCAAGTAAGCAAACTCAGATGAAGAAAATTTGTCAATTGAAAAGTCACCAACTTGCTCACCTCAGCGGTTGAAATTCCC